AGTCCACCTCAGTGCTAGGCCTAGATCCTTCCTTCTCATGTTTGGAAGTTTTAGTAGTGAACCTGTTCAGAAGGATGAGCTCAGTCTTCAAGAATATTGGGTGGCACAGTGTGAAGAGGGTGCAGTTGTGGAGAAATTGGACATAGTAGTTAAATCATACTTATCTCTATTTTTTTCTCAGGCACCCTATCCTTTGACCAACTTTCCTCCCCAGTGGATATTAGGAGAGTGTCACTGAAGCTTATTGTCAAGAACTATGTCCTTAATTTGTACATACTATTTCCTATACCTTGAAAGCCCTCCTGCCCCTTCAACTCCTCAACAGAATTTTGCATATTTCTCTGTTTGCTTTTGCTTTTGCTTTGACCTGCTGAAATCCTCATGATCCAAATGACTTGTTCCCTCTGGTGTCTGTCTCAAACCACATTTTCTAAGTGGGTGTTTTTTTTTTTCAAGATTATCTGTTTTTCAAGTTCATTTAAGTGCTCATTCTAATTTAAGAAAACTATAATTAGTGGAAAACATACATAGTGTTTTGAAGGACATACAACTCAGACTTCTTACTGGTAGATCTGTACTAGGAAAAGGATAAAGCAGGGAAACTGACCCACAAATATATATATTTGAGTGGCTTATGTTAAAGTCATATATGTAAACTCATGATATTCTACTTAAAAACCTTATTAGATCACCAGTGCTACTGTAATATGGAAATGGTTTCTGTTCCTTCTCCATTACAGTAACCACAATGGGGAAGAGGCTTATTCAGGTTTCTGTCTATTGTTCCAAAGAAGGGGGCTACGTCTTATTCAATTTCATGACTTGTGTATCTGGTAGATCAAAAGAACCATCTTGCTTCATATTTTTTTTTAAATAAGTGAAACTATATTATCCCTGTTGATTTTTTATAGCAAGTGATGAGCTAGATATTGCCAATATTACTTAACTTAGGGCAAGGAAAACAGATCTCATAGAGCTGGAGGAATTCTCATAGAGGCAAGAGCTTTGCATGAAAAAAATCTGTTCTTCTAATTTCCTTAGATTATGTGGCACGAACAAATGTAGTGAAGGGAGCTTGATTTGGCGATGCTTCAAGAGAAGCTGGATCTTGCTTCTGATAGGAAATGAGTACTCAGTAGTTGTATGTAATTACTTTTCTTCCTCTGATCATCCAGGGTAATTAGATAAATATCTACTTCCTAAATTTTATTAGGTTTTTTAAAATTCTTTTCTCCACATTCAAGACTGATCTGATATTGCTCATGGACAGCTCAGGATGAATAGTTTTAGAATTAAGAATTGATAAGGTAAAAACTATCCTGGGTTTGTCTTCAAGATCTCCTGGGAATGTAGGAACATATGTATCTGCAATGTTTCTGATTCTACTTATCATTGTGTAAAATTTAAAGAGCAAGATCATGAAAAGATTTTTTTTCAGCTTGCACTTGAAACCTAATGATTTTTCTAGCTTTTTTCTCTAATAAGCACAAAGATTTTCTAGTACTTTCCAAGTTTCAAGTACTCTATATACAATGGCTTATTTAATTCACATAATAAACTCTCACTTTTCATTCACCTGTCAAGTACTTGTACTCCCCTGATTGAAGAGCCATGTGATGAATTATTTAATAGGTAACTAACACTTGCTAATGTGTCAGTTAGCTAATTTGAAACCCTAGTGTTTAGAGAAAAGAAAAAAAACCTCTTTATTTATTTAGAAGTTGTGTTTCTAGAAGGTATCGATGGCAGGAATTTAAGATCAAATTAATGTGCATATAGTTTGTATTCAGACTGGCTGTTTGAAGGTTCTTAGCTAATATAAAATAGCCACCCCATCTGTCTCTACACAGAACCCATGCTGCTGAAGCTATGCTCTAGTGGCAGCGGACTTTGGTAACCTTGGTAATGACACGTGAAAGCTCTGCCCAGAGACTCGAATGACTCACCAGGAAGTGCCCTTTAAAAAACTTTAGGAAAGCAGCCAGTCTTCAACCCAAATCCTACACATCCTTTTCTCTGTTAATGGAGGGAGAACTTAATTTGGAAAACATTTGCCTGTAAGTATTATGTAACTGGATATAGCTGCTCTTCATAAATGGTAGTAGAAGCCTCAGTAACTGGAATAACTATGGAGGTCGACAAAGACATTCAAGCAAACTCCCTTTCAAGTGTCCTCTGACCCTATTTATAGTAAGGACAAGAGGGGAGAAATTTCCAATAAATATTATAACCTGTGTCCAAAAGATGTACTGGAGAAATACTCCTAGAAATATGTTTGAGGAAGAGGCACAGCTCATAAATTTCAAAGCACTGGATCATGAAGTCATAAAATCATGTTTGTTTTGTAGAATCTGTACTTTATAGGAGTTGACTTGAGTCATCTGTGACACAGTAGGCTACAAATAACAACAGAGAGTCTTGATCAAATTTGAAAAGAAACAGGAAGTAGGAAAAGGATTGAGAGAGTGAAAGGACAAGAGCAGTATATTCAAAAAGGGTGGCCAGGAGCCAGCGAGATAGCTCAGCAGACTGAAGCACCCACTTAGGCAAGCATAGGCAAGCACAGGGACTGAGGTATGATCCCTGACACCACATGCCATGCCAGCCCCAACCCCAGGGCAGGCTGAGCCAGCTGCAGAGTCTGGGCCTAGTAGCACATGCCTGTAATCCCACTGCTGGGGAGGTTACAAGCAGGAGGATCACTATTAGGCCAGGCTGTATAGTGAGACTCTGCAACAACCAAATACATTAAAATAAATAAATAAATAAGCCAGGAAAATCTTCAAAGAGATGACATGCTGACCAAAAATGACGAGGACAAAGTGTAAGCGAGCCTTCCTGAGCAGATGCTGCAAGGTGTTGCGTCTGTCACTTCAGGAAGGCCACAGCAGAAAGTCAAGAGAGCAAGCAAAGTAAAATGCGTACTACAAGGTGCAGTAGTTAGAAAGACGGTGAGCAGCAGGCCTGGTATGCAGTGGCGCCTCCTGACCACCACAGTCTCCCTCGCCCTCCCCTGGGTCTAGCTTGTGCCTAGATCTAGATGCAGTTTATAAGTCATTGTGTTGTGCAGTGACATCAAGTGTGTAAATACTGCCCAAAAGCAGATTCCTGGGACATGAGCCCCGTGCACCAGCACAGGCTTGGGAACTGTTGAGTAGTAAAAAGAGGACACCACTCTTACTCTTTGTGGCTGTAGGTAATGCAGCCACACCCTAGCGCACCTGTCACATCTGCCTAAGGCTGTTCCAGTTGGGCCCTATTTAATGGAACCAAACGAAAGTTAATAATGTTGTTGCTCATCTCTTCTTTTGTAGTTCAGCAATTATTCAATTATTCATATCTCCAATTATGTTTGGAGATATTTTTTCCATGCTGTCACCTCTTGAAAAGCATTATATATTTCCTCTATCAGGGAGCACTGTTTTATTAACATCTAAGATAAGAGCTGCTTTTGATGTAGGCGACATTTTTATGAAGCATTATTTCCTGAACAATAACAATTTCCTGAAAATACAATGCATAGAAAAGCATCTTGCAGTGGATTTATGTGAAAGATCAGTGAATGACTTTATCAGAATGATTCCAGACATTGTCTACCAGAAAATCTTGAAGAATGATCCTATATTGCCTTGTGTAGATTTTCAGGATTCATTAAATCTCAAATACATTGGTTTATTTCTCTGAAATTGTGTCTGCAAGTCAATCACATTTCATAAATGTCCATTCTTACCAGGCTTAAACTTTGAAACTAAAGCTAAGCCTTCCCCTCATAAAATGCATTTTCAGTCTGGTCATTCAATAATGCTTAGCATACATGTGATTCATTTTACTGTTCTTATACTACAGCGTGGCATCTTTTCCCCCAGTTTTACCAAGGGATAATCGACAAATAGAATTTCCATGTGTGTGTTGCGTGTGGTGATATTTTGATACTATATGTAAATATTGCAAAGTGAATACTGCAATCAGCGTGCTTAACATATTCACTAGTGCAGTGGATGGCTAACTGGTGGTCAACTTGCTACACCTGGCTGATTTCAACTAGCATGGTGCTGGGTGTGGGAGGCTCACCTGAGGGTTGTTGCCAGCAGCATAAAGGCAGAACAGGAGAAGCTGCTAAAACGCTGCTAGGGAATGCTGTTTGGAGAAGCTGTTGGAAGCTGCCAGTTCTCTTGGGCTGTTCTGCTGGAGACCTTGTCATGCTGGCTTTCCCGAAGAACTTTGGAGACACTTGGGTCCTCATCTTGAGTATCAATTCCTGGCTCTGGAGGGGAAGATGGTGCATGGCTCAGCCTCATGAAGAAGCTTGTCGCATTGACTTTTCTGATGGGAACTCGGCTTTCCTCATCACTGGAGAAGCTTAGCACCTCACTGTTGCCAAGAATGGCTGTGGTACTTTTGGGGGAGCTCTGGTGCTTACCTTGAGCGTTGCTTCCTAGTGCCAGTTCAGATCCCTCAGCCTACTGGCATGGGTCCTTCATCCCACCAGTATAGACTTCCTACTTCTACCACTGACCTTTGGGCCTTTCCAGCACATATCCACGAAGTGGGCCTGCATGGAACTTTGTTGTGGGCTCTAGGCCTCTAGCTGGACTGGTAAGAAGCTTTGTTATGAGCTCTAGGCCCTCGGCTGAATTCGTTAATATTTAGTGTGTGGATAGATTTTCTGTACTTAGTATGTGATTCTTGGGTGATTCATTATAAAATACCATTATAAAATGTGTCCTGTACTATATTCATCTTTCAAAAATCCTAAAGACAATCAGCTCATGCAGTTATATTTATTTTTGTGCTGAGAATATTTACTATTTACTCTAGCAATTTATATGTGTGCAAATAAATTATTCACCATAGTCATCATGCTGTACAATACATTGCCACCATTCATCCTATCTAAATGAATCTTTGTACTTCTTGGCCAACATTTCTCCATTCTCTACCTTCCCCTCTGACTCAGCTCCTAGCAAGTGCTATTCTGCTCCTGCTCAGCTACTTTTTCAGGTCAGACAGGTAATATTCCCACATTATAACAAGGACTGAAGGAGAAACACCTCATTCCTACCGCATGAACCCCCAATCATCGTGCTCATGACCTGAAGGGTCTGCTCTTTCATCCTATGAGTTTGTTACTGTAAACTCCACATAGAAATGAGCTCCTGCAGTATCTGCCTGTGCCTGGTTTGCTTCGCGTTCTGTAATGTGCTCCAGGTCATCCATATTGCTATAGATAAAGACTCCTTCTTTGAGCCTGCATTGTATTTTATGCATATACCATGTTTTATACATCGCTTGTCTGTCAACAGACACAGGCTGGTTGAGAAAGGTAATAATGCCGTGCTGAACGCGAGAATGCTGACATCTTTCCAATACTGATTCTATTCCCAGTGCATATACTATGGTCTTAATGTCTCAAAATTTCCTCTGTTAAAACTTACTTGTCGTTGTTACTGTATTAAGCTGTGCGGCCTTTAGGAAATTTAAATCATTAGAATGGACCTGAGTGAAAGGACGAGCAACCTCCTCAGCGCAGCGTGAGGCGCTGCCCCTTTCTCTTTTGCCATTTCTCTGCCATGCAGGGACGCAGCATTCACACTTCTGTGTAACAACCCAGCACAAAGACTCTCGGTAGGAGCTACATGCTGGTGCTTAGATCTTGGATATCTTGATGTCCAGAACAGGGAGAAATAAATTTCTATTGTTTATTAATTACTTGAGCTGTATTATTTTGTTGTAGCAGCATTCACAGGCTAGAACAATAGAGTAGTCACTCTCCTGCCAGTGGGACAAAAATACCTGACACTGCAAATCAAAGAAGGGGTTTATTTTGGCCCATGGTGCTAAAGGGTTTAGTCCACGGCTGATTGGCTCTAAGGCAAAAACTGCGTGGTAGTAGGATTTGGTAAAAGAGAGTTGTTCAACCTATGGATGGAGAGCAAAGAGAGAAGGGAAGAGCTAGAGAAAAGAATACAGTGTTCCAGCAGGCCAAATAGCTCAGCAATTAAAGTGCCTGCAAACGGGCGCAGGGGCCAAGGATTTGATCCCCGGGCCTGCAAGATTGAGACTGGGCTTGGTGGCCCATGCCTGTAATCCCAGCTCTTGGGAGGCTGTAAACAGGAGAATCACTATGAATCCAATCTAGTGAGACCCCTAAAATACAAAATAAATACCATGTTCCATGGTCATTCCTCCAGTGACCTAACCTTTCAACTAGAGCCCACTTTTTTTTTTTTTTTTGTGGTACCGGGGATTGAACTCAGGACCCTGAGCCTGCCAGGAGGACACTTACTCTACTGAGCTATCTCCCCGGTCCTAGATCCCATTTCTAAACAACATATAATCCAATCACTTTCCAAAACTCCACCTCTAAACACATATGATTTTGGGGGGATAATTTACTTCTAAACCATAATTAGTAGGATATATACTCAGTGGGTTTTTAGATCTTTTTTTTTTTGGCGGGGGGATTGGCTAAGCCCATCCTGGGGGCAGGGCTAGTGTGGCATGTGGTGCCGGTGATCAAATCACAGTCTCTGTGCTTTGACTAAGCCTGCCTAAACAGACACTGTACCGCTGAGCTATCTCGCCAGCCCGAATTGTTAGATCTGATTACAGCTCTACTTTTAGTTTTTTAATAAATCTTAACTATTTTTTCCAAAATGGCTATACTAATTTACTTCCCACCAACAGTGTACAAGTCTCCCTTTCCCTCTAAATCAGTATCAACATTTATGTTTTGGTTTTTTATACTTTCTCTTCTATCAAGTGTTAGCTGAGCTATCTCCCCAGCCCCATTATGGATTATTTTTAATAATACTAATTCTCCCAGTCTATGATCAGAGGGTATGTTTCAATTTATATAGTTCTTCTACAATTTATTTCATGAATGTTTTATAGTTTCCAGTGTGCAGCTAGTTCACCCTTCTTGGTTAAAGCTCTTTGTATTTCTTTTGTTTATCAGTCAACACTTTATTTTTGTAAGAGTTCTAAGTGGGAGAGTTCTTCATTTCTTTTTTAGAAACTTTATTTTTGGTGGGTAGGAATGCTACAGATTTTTGGATGTAGATTTTGTTTTTGTCACTGTATTGAATTTCCTTATTGGTTCTAACAGTTTTTGTGAAAGATTTTAGAGATTTTAGTATGTAAAATCGTCATGGCTTGCTTTTGTTTTGATGCCTTTTTCTCCCCTTGTCTAATTATTCTGGCTAAGACTTCAGTACTACACTAAATAGAAGAGGGAAGTGTTGACATCCTTATTCCTAATCTTACATGAAAAGCTTTCAGATTTTCACTGCTGAGAACAATGTTAACGTGTAAATTTGTCATATACAGACTTTATGTTGAAGTACTTTCCTTGCATATGAAATTTACAGAAAGGTTTTTTTTGGTTTTGTTTTGTTTTTTGTATCTTTTTAGGGAAGGATCTACAGGGTGTTCAGGGTTTCAGTACTAGATTGGACTTGTAGTGATCCACCTGTTTGCAGCCTCCCAAGTGCTGGGATTACAGGCACACAGCACTACACCCAGTCTCAATCACCATCTCAGCTCACCCCAGGGATGGGCATGGCAGGACAGGCCCGAGGATCAAATCCCTGGCCCCTGTGCCTACTTAGAGGTGCTTTAATCCACTGAGCTATTTGGCCAGCCCTGAGCAGTTTTTTTTTTTTTTTTTTTTTTTAAGAATGTTGACTATTGGAAAATGTATTTGATATACCTGCTGATATAAGGGTTTTTCTTTTTCCTCTGTTATTTGATTTGTTGATGTTGTACTTAACTTTACCCCCTTGGTAATAAATCCTACTTAATCACAGTGCACAACCTTTTTTAATGTAATGTCATATTTAGTTTGCTGACATTTTGTTGAGGATTTACACATGTGCTTTCATCAAAGATATTGGCTTATTATTTATTTTTGTTTGATTTTCCTTGTCTGATTTAGGTATCAAGATAATGCAGCCTTCATAAAAGCACTTCCTTATTGGAGGTGTTTCTCTTCAATTTTTTTTTTCAAATCTAAGAAGTCTTGTTTTTAATTCTTCTTTAAATCTTCAGTAGATTCTTACCAGTGAAGCAAGACAGTTCTGGCCTTTTTTTAATTGGAAGGTGTAACAGTTAAAGTGGAATGTCAATTTGATCAGTTTACCAGCTGACTAGTGGATTAGTAAAGCATAATTCTAGGTGGATCTGGATGGACCAGGAAGGCAGGGCCTTGGGTAGCTCCTCTCGTCTTGGCCCCCTTCCTCTTCAGACCTATTCTCTTGCTTGGCTTCCCTGCCACTCTGATCTAGGCAGCTTAGGTCCGCCATTGTGGACCTACCTTACTACCAATGAACCACGGACTAAGTCCTCCAACACTGTGAGCTAAACGAACCTCTCCTCTGTATGTTGCAGGTATCACGCATGCTGTTCTAGCAAAGGGAAAGATTAGTAATAAGGAGGTTTTTAGGTTGTTTTGACTAAGTTCGTTATTCACAGTTGATCTTTTCAGACCCATTTTGCTGAAGGAGATTGAACCAGTACCTGGTAGGCAAGTATTCGCCTACTGAGCTGTACTCGGCCTTCTGTACAGACTTACTATTTCCTAAGGATTTATTCTTGATAATGTTTATCCATCTCCTCTAGATTATCCAACATTAAGGTATACAACTGTTTGGATAGCTTTTATTATCCTTTGTATTTCTGTGGTACCAGTGACAATGTATCATTTTTTGTTTATGATTTTGTTTTCTCTTTTATCTTAAGTTAAAGATCTGTCAATTTTCTTACCCTTTTAACAATTAATTCAATTTCATTAATTTCATATTCATTTAACTTTTATTTTATCTACTTCTACCCTGGCCTTCATTGTTTCCTTTCTTCTTCTAACTTTGAACTTATTTTTTTCCTTTTAACTGGTGGTGTAAAGTTCTGTTGATTACCAAAAAGAAATCTTTCTCTTTTCCTTTGTTCTGTCCATTGCCTCTATGAGCCACCCTCTTAGAATGAATGTCCCTGCTTCTCATAAATCTCAGCATGTCATATTTCCATCTTTATTGGCCTCAAGGCTTTTTTTTTATTTTCTTTTGATTTCCTCTTTGGTTCTTTTGCTATTTGGAACTGTGTCCTACCAGGTCTACATATGTGTGAACTTCTATATTTTGCTTCATAGTAATTTCTGACCATTATGATCATGAAAGATATTTGATAATTTCAATTTTTTTAAGTTTAAGGGTTATTTTATGGACTATCATATGATCTGTCTTACAGAACACTCCATGTGCTGCCAATGGATAGAACGTTTTGTGTGTATCTGTGAGGTCTATTTTGTTATAATATTATTAAAGCTTTATTTGCTTTTTTATTTTCTGTCTGAGTGAAATACCTATTGTTGAAACTGGGATATTATTTTATTTTAATTTTTTAATAGATCACAAATTGAGAATAAATTATTTACAAACATAAATGAATATAACAATAAAAATTGTCCAAAATAAAAATGAAGAAAGAATTTACAAATCAGTCATAATAGTTCATTGTCAAAACCACGAAACATATTTATATAATTAGAATTCTCAAAGTAGGCAAGAGTAGGCAATAAATATTTAAAGATTTAAAATTTCTGAATTTAGTTCAACTTATAATACCATATTTCCAAGAAAAATGAAACTTTTGCACAAGAAATTTAAATCATACCAAGATACACAAAAATGAAATTGTCCAAAACTAATTGTAAAGAAAAAAAATCATTACAGCATGTACATAAGATATTAACTATGGATGAACA